GCTCTCACAACAATCGTATCAACATGAATAACTTTTAAAAGCAAAACGTACTCCCCCCCCCCGACCCATGAGATCACTCCTTTTGCACCGGCTCTCCTTATCCTTAGCCACTTGGAGAAACAAGTTGTCTTAGCTCTAATCTTAGCCCTGTTGTCTTAGCTCTAATCTCTCTGACCTTGACAAAAAATTGTCTTCCCCAGTTTCCTCAGACAGCACTTCTGGTAGGTTCCCATGGGAATGCCCATCACTGTTCTCTTAGGAACTACCAGGAGAAACCATTTTCCAAAACATATATCTCGGGCCCTCTGAATCTCTCCGAGCCTCATCTTCTGAACACTCAGAATCTGACCAGGCCACAACACAGTATGATAATATTCTTATGGTCCATTTTTAAAAACTTTCCGAAATAGCTCTTGAAGACCAGGACTCTCAGACTACTCTTTCTCGAGGTTTTGTTCCCACTGACCCATTCACATTTGCCTCCAGTATCTTGCTCAGTTCTTTCTCCACCTCTGGTTTCTGTTTTTCATGTTCTCCAATCTCAATCCACATCTTTCTCAGATTTTGGACATTTTCATCGACACCATTCCTTCTGAGTGAGGACCTTAGTAGAACTGGTTTATTACAATAACTGCATATTATTATCTTGTAGATGTAGATCAGGGGTCCTCAAACGGAGGCCCTCCAAGGTCATTTACCCAGGCCATGCTCAGGGTCAACCCAAGTATGTAACGACTTGAAAGCACACAACAACAACAACAACAACAACAACAACAATCCTATCTCATCAGCCAAAAGCAGGCCCACACTTCCCATTGAAATACTAATACATTTATATTTGTTAAAATTGTTCTTCATTTTAATTATTGTATTGTTTTTAAGTGTTTTTTGCACTACATATAAAATATGTGCAGTGTGCATAGGAATTCATTCATGTCTTTTCAAATTATAATCCGGCCCTCCAACAGTTTGAGGGACTGTGACCTGGCCCTCTGTTTAAAAAGTTCAAGAACCCCTGATGTAGATATTATGGTTGGAGATCATCTAGCTTTGATACCTCACCAGTTGATTTCTTTTGTGTTAAGCCTCCAAATTTGTAATGCAGCATATCTAGAGTGCACAATATGTCTTGTAATTTATCCAGTTTGCAATTTCAAATGCGTTAAGAGTTCAAATTGTTTAATTTTTTCTTTTTTCCATTTTTTGTCACTGTTTCCGTCTTCTGAATACACAGTCATCCTTTTATCTTGCCCTTCTCTTGGCAAAGTTTATAGTCTTTTAAAACATTAGAGGTCATATTTTTGTATATACTATTGCTCGCTGTTGAAAAACAGATTCCTCCAATTCTCAGGGTGTGGCAGTTATGATTAGACTAAACATCCTTTTCCAGGTCAAATTCCCAAAACACCATAATCCTCTTTTCGGACTGGCAAATTATAAATCACAGATAAGTGAGATTCTTCTTAAATTATTTAATCAAACACTTGTGTTATAATTCAATATAGAGATTATTTATATTGCGAGATAACTTTCTTGCTTGCTCTTTTATCTATTCTTATTTACAGTTCAGATCAATCTTGTTTGCTTGCTAACTGCTCTTGCTGTTTTGTTTCAAAGCCAGATATCCTTTTAAAAATCATTGAAACATTCTCTTTCATACTAGTTGTGGTTAGTTGTGTTTCAGTTTTCATATTGTCTCATCTTTTTATCTTCCTCCTCCCTCCACGATTAGGGCCTCGAACTTCAAACTTCATGGTTTCCTTGTTTCTTTCCTTCTGGCTTCCAAAAATCTTCAAGGGTGCTGGGGTGTAGAAAAAAATAGCTTGCTGGTATGGGTGGCAGTATAGCTGTGATTTACAGCTTCAATCTATCTTATTTTTTGCAATTTGTATCTTATTGTATTGTAATTTGTTGTTCAGGCTTGGCCTCATGTAAGCCGATCTGAGTCCCCATTGGGGGATATGGTGGCAGGGTATAAATAACGTTTGTTGTTGCTGTTGTTGTTGTTGTTTTCGTTTTAGTGTCTTCTTTCCTTCTCTCAGCTGAGCTCCTTTGGGAGCACTGGCAATAGGGCCGTAGCCAGAAAAAAAATTCAGGGTGGGGGGCAGGGCGGGTTGAAACTTTTTTTTAGCTAATCATGAGGATTAGTTCCATAACACAAAGTAATTTAAATTATATGGTTCAGTCTATATGTTTCTTAGATTTAATTGAATCAAATTTCTATTTTATTTACAAAGTTACAAGCCTTAAAATAACTGAAAATGATGGTTAATTGGTAATTTGTAATTACAAAAGAATACCACAATGTCTGTTAGAAAAACCTGAAAACTGTGCCAATACACCTTGACAGAAACCAGGATCCATCAGTAAACTTTGGTAGACACTGTGAATGCAAGTAATCACTGGAATGAGCACATTTCATTTTCAAGTTAATTTCATTATTAGGCATGAGAAGAAATTTGAACCTCAAATGCATGAGACTAAATTTACCTAAAACCTTTAGAATTCCAGTAAGACTAAAAAAAGGGAATTCAGCATCACTTTTCAAGTTGCAATGTCACCTTATTTAGACAATGACAAATATGGATAACTACACGGGGAAGGTACCTGTATATTCCGGCATTTAAGATGACTGGGCGTATAAGACGACCCCCAACTTTTCCAGTTAAAATATAAAGTTTGGGATATACTCGCTGTATAAGACTACCCGTCTTCCAACACACACCAAATAAATTTTTAAAGGCATCAGATTTGATTTCAATATGGTAATTTTCCTATTACTGTACCTCCTTCTCTGCCTCTCAGATCTTGCACATGCGCACCTGCACCACTTCACTGCAGTCTTCAGGAGCGAGATCTGAGAGGCAGAGGAGGAGGTACGATAATAGGATACAAGGGCGGGCCAGACAGGTAAAAGAGTTGTGTTTTTCTGGGCCCAGAGCCACTCTATTTATTTTTTCCATACCCCGGGCGCCCCAGACGCCTGCAGCTTGCTCCGCCCTTCACTTACACTTTCCCAGTGAGGTGCCCCTTCACCTCACCATCGGGACCACATTAAGTCCACGAATCCTGATAAATGGATTTTCTTCTACCGTACTTGTACAGCATCGCCCTTAATGGTTTCGTACAGTTGCTGCATATGGCAGAGACGTGGCAACTTCCATTTTTGAGCTCCCCCCACAATATGCAGCAACCACAGATTCTCCAATCCGGATTGGAAGTCTCAGCACCCGCTCTATAAGACGACTCCCAGCGTATAAGACTACTCCCACGTATTAGACAACTCCTGCATATAAGACTACTCCCGTGTATAAGACAACTTCTGCATATAAGACTACTCCTGCGTATAAGACGACTCCCACATATAAGACGACCCCTGACTTTTGAGAAGATTTTCTTGGGTTAAAAAGTAGTCTTATACGCCACAATATACCGTACTATTCTGGGCCTAATCCTCTGGATGCTCTGGAGATATAATATGAGGGCCCTTCTCATACTATATGAGGGTCATTCTCATATTTCCTGATTCCTGAAATTGCTCAACAGAGTTCTCCATGTAAAAAATTATTCTGTTTGTCCACACCACTACTTCTAAAACAATTGGATCTTTCTTTCATCTATTTCATGACTCACCCTTTCTCACCACAACAACAGCTTTGTTTCTTGTTCCCTCTTCTTTGCTTTATTACTGTTATTTTTAGTTGCCCAAAAACATCTAGTCTCCCTTAAAACCTCTTGGTTCAAATCATGCTCTCAAGAGATAAAAATAAGCCGACTTCTTTAAAAGTAACATAGTTGGTTTGCTCACAAACTTCATGTATTCATCATACAGATACTTTGCTTATCAATCCAGTTAAAAGTAGATTTTAAGTAGTTTCTCTGTGTAGGTAACACAGGGCATCATTCTTAGAATCAATAGTCCATAATCTAAAGTGTCTCTCTATTCTGAGAGTCTAATAAAGTCTCTGTTTCTAGTTTGAAAGTCCAATGGAGTCTAATGGCTTCTGTACAGCATATTGTTCCTATTGAAGCCTAAACTGAACTCTTTCTAAAATGGAGTCTGAATCCTGAACAAGCCCAGTTCTGATGACATAGTCTGCAGCTCCTCCCACAACAAGTAAAGTTGCATACCAGCACACATATTCCATACAGTAAGCATCTATATGCATAACAAATAACTAGTGGAAGCTTGAGAAGGTTGTCACTTCCAACAACCCAGGAGGGGAACTCTGCTTAGTGCAGCCACCCAAACCTCCAGCCCAGCCCTTACGCTTTGCTGGGAAATCCCTGCCAATATTTCAATCCTAGGGAATGAAAATTACTCCTACTCGTCTAGATTTTGATAGAAGGGATATAGAGAAATGCCCCATAGAGATTGATTGGCAAAGAGATGACTGTAGAATTATGGAATAGTGGAGGACTTTATCAGCCAAAATGGATTCCTTGTTGAAAAGGAAAACATGGGCTTCATTTGCAATTCTGATTGCTCCAACTAATAATTCTATGGCAATTCTATAATTGATAGAGAAATGCATTCATCATTTCTAATCACAAATGCAGCAGCATGTATTTTTCAACTCTACATGGAAATAAGATTGAATCTAGGGTAGCCATGAGTTGCAGTTTGGTCATGAGAAGCGCCATAACTGGAGATACACAGGGAGAAAATAAGGGCATCTATGCATTTGGTCCTTGACTTTGCATCTCAGCTTCTTATCCTTTCCTCTTATCTGACCTGCCCTCCTTCTTCACCCTTGAGTACTTAATCAGGCTCTACTGTCTGATTAGGTACCAGCAAAGCAGCTTGGTAAGCAGCTAAACCCGTCTTTCCTAGCCCTTTGGCTGCAACTACTTTCCAGTCCTTGAGGATAAGCCTGGCTTAGCTGAGGCTTTCCAGCCTTAAGGGTGATTAAGAAGACAGGAATGCTTTGGAGGTGGCAGGAACAGCTATCTTGTAGTCATGCCAGAAGAGCCCCCTGGACCAATAAGGTATAAAAGGCGTATTCACAACCACACTTGTGATTCCTTATCTGCTCGCCATGATACCCCCGCCTGTCCTCGCATTTATGATTCCATGCCATCCGGGCGACAAAGAGATGTGAACTGAAGTCAGTTGCTCTTCCTGCCTCCTGAATCTGGTCTCATTTAGCAACTTTACAGTTGTTTTCTGTCTCTAGGCATCCTTCCCCGAACCGATCCCTTTTGTCTATCTCCCTCTTCTTCTTGTCCCAGCTACCCAATCCACCTAACATCCCTCCCACCATCCTTTCAACTCCCTGTTATCATCACTTTCTTCTCCCTTTCTCCAATCATGACCATGCAGAAATCTCGGCCTGACTCCCGGGATGATCTCCCTGAAGACTTCTTTATCCCAGTGCCCTTGGACGTTGCCAATATCACAACCCTCAGCCCTTTCCTGGTACCTCAGACGCACCTGGGTAGCCCAAGCCTCTTTATGGGCATGGCTGCCTTCATGTTCATTTTGATTGTACTAGGGGTGCCCATCAACTTTCTCACCATCTTCTGCACCTTCAAATACAAGAAGCTCCGTTCTCACCTGAACTACATCTTGGTCAACCTTTCTGTGTCAAATTTGTTGGTGGTCTGTGTTGGATCTACCACTGCCTTCTACAGCTTCTCAAATATGTACTTCGCCCTGGGTCCCACTGCCTGCAAGATAGAGGGATTTGCTGCCACGCTGGGGGGTAAGCAAGGAAAAAGCAGGATTCAGTAGAACTGGAAAGAGTGAGTAGTTATATGTGGGTGTATGAGTATGTGAGGATATCTGAGTATTGTGGGGGATCATGGGAAGGTATTGGGATAAGTTAGTACGAGTAAGAAATCTGTACTTTGTAAATAGTGGTCAAAGCATTGACTGGAACTCAGAGAAAACATAATAGCAATATGTGGTTTATCTTCTGTATCTGTAGTCCCATATATTTAAATTTTCTGTGACCGAACAAAGCTCATCAAATATTTCAATCTTCTCCCTTCTATTCTCAACCAGGTATGGTAAGCCTATGGTCTTTGGCAGTCATAGCCTTCGAAAGATACTTAGTCATCTGCAAACCCTTGGGAAACTTCACCTTCAGAGGTACTCATGCCATCATCGGCTGTGTTATGACCTGGGTCTTTGGCTTAGTGGCTTCAGTACCACCCTTCTTTGGCTGGAGCAGGTATGAATTGAAAAGGACAACTATTTTGGGAAGAGGAATACTCAGATGAAATGATGAATGATGGACTACTTGAGAGTCACTGATAGGCACAAGAATAATTAACTGTTTGTTTTGATTGGGCAGTACAGAATTATGTGCTTTTCTCTTGCTTCCTCCCTCGTCAGCTTAAATGCTTCATTGCCATACCTTGTATGTAAGATTAGTAATGCGCTCTGGTTTTTATCATTTTCAATGGAAACATCCTACATGCTAAAAACTGTTTAACCTCCTCAGATATATTCCTGAGGGTCTCCAGTGCTCATGTGGCCCTGACTGGTACACAACAGACAACAAGTGGAACAACGAGTCATATGTGATCTTCCTTTTCTCCTTCTGCTTTGGAGTGCCACTGTCTGTTATTGTCTTCTCATATGGCCGTCTTCTTCTCACCCTGAGAGCTGTGAGTATTCTCTCTCTTCTGTCTTCTTTTTTCCTCTTCTGGTGATAAGGACTGGCACTAAGAAAGAGTGGCAGGTTGCACAGCTATGTACAATATGAATATATATATATATAAATATGTAATACTATAGAAATCCAACTAATCTGGTGCTGTTTTTCTGAGCCCCGCTTCTAGATACTTTTATAAATAGTAGAAGCCAGGATTTAACATAATTCCAGGTAAGTGCCTGGAATTAAGTTTGAGCCCAACGCTCTTGAACACTTGTAACACAGTCTTCAATCAGTGCAAATTTCTTTTTGTGTTTTTTGGCTAAGAGCCAAATTGGATGTGAAGTTAAATGTATACAATTATTTGAATTGAACTGGAAAGTACCAGTTGGTACCAATGGAAGTTGCTTTCTGACTCTGGAACTCACTGTCTGGAGAAATTAAGAAAGCCCCTTCCCTAGACATTTTTAAAAACAACCTCAAAACCTGGGTCTTCCACTGCGCCTTTGATGAGTCGGTATACAATTTCGCATTATTGCTCAGCCTCAAGTTCTGTCATCGGAGTATTCGTCGTCCCCACCTTGTGGGAAAGCCTGTTTCCACAACCTCTCCCCCTATAATTGAGCTCTCCTCCGCAAATTACCTGTTTCTCTTCTTTATCTCACCCGAGTTTTTAATGAGTTTTAATCAGTTTGTCTTTTAATCATTATATGTAGCCCGCCCATTATTATTGTGTCTGTGCTTATTGTAATTTTACATTGTTATGTATGCATATGTTTTATGTTAATATGATGCTATTGTTTATTGTTTGCATTTTCGGTTTGTGTTTTGGTTTTTTTTTTCTTTATTGCAATTGTTGTTTGGGCTTGGCCTCATGTAAGTCGCTCCGAGTCCCCATTGGGGAGATGGTGGCGGGGTATAAATAAAGTTTATTATTATTATTGCCTACTTGGGCCTGAAAACAAGCTCAACAGGGAACCATGGAAGGCAGTTAAATTTTCCTTGCATGCCACTGTTTCAATCTTGATTAGCTGTTGTGAGGAGTAAGAAGAGCTAGATATGCGGTTCATTTATCTGATTCAGCCCAAAGAAAATCCTGTAACAATAGTTGTAGTTTATTCCATTCTGTTTAAATGGCAAGAAAACGCAAATCAACAATACTTTGCAAGCACGGACACCAACAGATTTGGCCGCAGTGGCGTATATGCTTGTGGATTGAGACTACTTGTACATTTTTTCATGCACAATACCCATATGAGTGCATAGTGGCATGTGGAAATTTGTGCCAGCAGTTTGCCCTTCGTCATTGCCATCATCATAACTGTTACAAGATTGTTTCCCCCTCTGCTGGCTTTTGCAGAAAGTACAGTGAGGAAAATTTGCAGAAACTGGAAGGCAAGGAAAGGGGAAATTATTGCTAGATACAAATGGAAGACTGGAAAGTAGAATTTCTCAATGGGCCCTTTTGAAATACAGGGAAGCATATCTGATCTCAGAGGTTTTCAAGAAACAGTTGGATGTCATTTATTGGTGGCTCTCTAGACTGGTTCTACATTGTCGATTTAATGTAGTTTGACACCACTGTAATTGCCATGGCTCAATCCAGTGGAATCTGGGAATTTGTCATTTGGTTAGGCACCAACCATCTTCAGCAGAGAAGGCTGAAGACCTTTCATAAACTCCAAATTCCAGGATAAACTCCAAATTCCAGGAATCCATAGCAGTGAGCCATGGCAGTTAAAGTGGTGTCAAGCTACATTCATTCTAAGTTGTCAGTGTACTTCTAGTCTGAACCAGATGAACCACAAGCTCTCTGTCATATTCTTTAATTCCTAGCTAGGATATTGAATTGATAAATCTGCCTTACAATTACTAGACCTCAGCATAAGAGTGGGAAATCATGGCAAAACAGCTAATGATGGAGATGGCAGGTTATTACAATAGATTATCTCACGGCAGAAATCGAGCTCCTGAGCCCTTTTTCTCATTTATGCCAGTCATTAATCTGTCATCAGCCTAGCCTAGTCCCCATCCTCCTGTTCTCCTTTTCCTTTCTCCACAAAATTTTAAATTGTCACACATCAGTACAATAGCTCCTGCGCTGTGTTCACTCAGCCACTTGAATGACACTCTCTCATGGTTAATTGCCTCCTCACTCCATCAGGTTGCAAAGCAGCAGGAGCAGTCAGCCACAACACAAAAGGCCGAGAGAGAAGTGACCAAGATGGTAGTAGTGATGGTAATGGGCTTCCTGGTTTGCTGGCTACCGTACGCCTCCTTTGCGCTGTGGGTAGTAACACACCGTGGGGAGACTTTTGATGTTCGCCTAGCTTCCATTCCTTCGGTCTTCTCCAAAGCTTCCTCAGTTTACAACCCGGTCATCTACGTCCTCATGAACAAACAGGTCAGCAGGGATGGGATCAGAAAAGAGTGCGGTGGGTGGGGGAAAAGAAAGCATGAAGGTGCCATCCCATCTTACTTGTTTGCTCCACAGGCTCCAATAGAGTCATTTCCTTCTCAGTATCCTACATGTGCTACTAGCACCCCTGCTCTGATAAGGATTTTACCCAAAAGGTGTAAAGTCTCACTCTTGGAAAATACGTCAATATTTTCTTTGATGTCATTGTGGCTTCTGGTATCCTGTTCTCCAGAATATGCATATCCTTGACCAGTGGTTGTTAACCTATCTAATGAGGTGCACCAGAAGATTTTTTCCCCACAGTGTGCCAGGGATCAGCACCATATTTAAGCCTTTCTTTATGGGAACTTGTCATGAACTGAGAGCCAATGGCTCGGGGTCCAGCAACAGTCTGCAGATTACCACTTTTAGTAGACCACAGTCAGCTAAAACCTTTTTTCATTGTCTCTGAAACAGTCGTATTGGCCATGTGTTGGCACATTTCTTTGTAGAGACTCCATTTCTGGAGACAAGTATGTGATGTTCATAATGAGTTTGGAAACATCCTGGGAGCTCTTAAAAAGTGAGGAGGTCAGTAGGAGTCAGAAAAATCATCTGAGAGTTCCCACTACCACTATATATTGTTCACCACACCCAAGTTGACCTAAATACCTTCAAGGCATTTGATCTCTTCTAATCTTAGAAGCTAAGTAGGATCAGCCTTGGTTAGTACTTGGAGAACATCAATCAGTACCCGGTACTGGAGGCTATATTTCAGAGGAAGCAACTGCAAACTACCTCAGATTATACCTTGTCCAAGAAAATCTTATAAAATTAGTAGGACCATCAAAAGTCAACAGATTACTTAGACCAGGGGTCCTCAAACTAAGGGCCGAGGGCCGAATACGGCCCTCCAAGGTCATTTACCTGGCCTTCGCTCAGGGTCAACCTAAGTCTGAAACAACTTGAAAGCACACAACAACAACAACAATCCTATCTCATCAGCCAAAAGCAGGTCCAGACTTCTCATTGAAATACTAATAAGTTTATATTTGTTAAAATTGTTTTTCATTTTAATTATTGTATTGTTTTTTTAAAAAAATTGCACTACAAATAAGATATGTGCAGTGTGCATAGGAATACCTTCATTCTTTTTCAAATTATAATCTGGCCCTCCAAACATTTGAGGGACTGCGACCTGGTCCTTTGTTTAAAAAGTTTGAGGACTCCAGACTTAGAGGCATAGGCATACACATACACAGAGAGTTGGCCGAAATACTCCAGTGACACCAGATTCCATTTAATCTTCGAAGTGAAACAGGATCAACGCGGGTGAGTTCTTGGATGACAGACCAACAAAATACCAGGTGCTGTAGGTTGTATTTCAAAGGAGGCAATTGACAAAATCACCTCTGAGTATTCCTTGCCTAAGCAACCCCTAAAGAATGTATGGGATCACCATAAGTTGACAGATAACTTCAGTGTATACACACACACATATAATCAGGCCAACACAGGAGAATGTAATGAGTTTCCTAGGTTGTTCTTTTACACAGACAACAGAGGCGTGGCAACCACATCATATCTTTTTGCACTATGCAGTGGCAGATAAGTTGATACAGGAAAGGTTTACTGAATCTTGAAAAACATCCAGGTGCCCATTTGATAGAATAGGAAAACTGACAGACTTGAACGTAAGAAAGAAGAACGGAAGCCATTCAAAAACTTTTTTCCCTTTTTTTTCTTCACTCTTTTTCCCCTCCTTTATTTTCTTTTTTTGCAATTTCCTACTTTTCTTCAATTACAATGTTCCCCCACTTTAAATGTTCTCTCTTCTATACTTTATTTTTATCTCTTTTTTACTTTGTTCATAATAATAAAAATCATTTTACAAAAATAAAAATAAAACCCAGGTGTTTCCCACTGGAGATTCCACTGCAAAAATGAGGACTCTGGAAATGATGGTATCCCTCCCTCATGTTATATTGGACTGTGGAATCCCTATTGATTAATCCTCTTTTCCTTGCAGTTCCGCTCCTGCATGCTGAAGCTCATCTTCTGTGGCAAAAGTCCCTTTGGCGATGAGGACGATGTTTCAGGTTCTTCACAAGCCACCCAGGTCTCCTCGGTGTCCTCCAGCCAGGTTTCCCCAGCATAACCAGGAGCTCTACCTCTGGGAACTCTACTTCTGCATACAGCACCACCCCTTGCCCTGCACAGCAGGAAGCTCCTGGTGTGTGTGTTATTCCTGCAGGTAGCCTGTTTCAGATCTGTTTTTCCTAGCAGGCATTTGGCTACTGCACAGACCACTCCCACTACATAGCCCACTATGCATTGCTCCACAAGCCTTTGTGCTTAACATTCTACTATGAACAGTTGTATTCGTGGACTACATCTTCAGGCCCCACTAAGGTGAGTGAAATAATCACCCACACACTGGAAACACAATAGTTGGAAATTCAAGAAGCATATTTCTTGGGTGCAGCCATGTCCCTTGACACATGGAAGTGGGATCTGGCTGGTCCAGCCTTCCTTGTTTGTATCACTGCAGGCATTTCTGTAAAAGAAAGAACAGTTGGTTTATATGAATTGGAGCTGGGTGCGATATGAGCTGCTAGTTTGACAAACCTAATTTCACTGTGAGGAATATATTTATCTACTCCCACTCCCACAGAAAATGATCCCTCTTCAACAGCATCAGAAGCGATACATCAACAAATGGGCTTCTCCTTCTAAGGCTGCGGCTTAAGGAAAGAAGTATTTCTTCAACCTCACAACCTAGTTCTGTCTGTATTTCATTCCCTCCAGCAGGGGGCAGCAGGAACACACACCAATGTCTGCAAAGAACTTAAGTCCTTCACAAGTAGAATGAACCGGAGCCCAGGCACATACCCACCCAGGTGAACTGTATGTTCAAGTTGTCCCTAAATCTTGATTTTGGATTCTTTCAAATGGCAATTGCAAGGCATGGATCTCTAGAATTGGCTTGAACCAATACAGAAAAAATGCATCCATACATCCTGCATTTCATGTATTATTTGCACACATTTCAGTGGGCACCTCAGAATCATCATGCTGGAAGGTACCCAACAGCCGTCCCTTGGGCGTTCTCCCTCCAGCCTTCCATTAAAAGTATGTGCATGGGATAGGAAGGAAGATCCAAAATGTCATTTGACAGTGTGTTCTCCTCCTTTCACGTGATCTCAAGCATTGATTTTCAGGTTCTTGTGTGTGGGTGTGTCAGAAAAGGGGGGGGGGGCTACCACAAAAGTAAGAAGAAACAATACTTTGCATTTACAAATCATGTTTAACAGGTTCAAAGCACTTCACTTGCATTGTTTCAATAATTTGGGAAACAAAATGATGTTATCTGTGTATCCAAGGGGGAACTGATCTAGAAAAATAAGGTTTTACCAAAGGATATTGGGTGAATTGATGGCAGAGACAAGACTTGAATTGGGGATGTTTTAGTTTACCAGCAGGTAACAGTTATAGAAAACTAATTACTTGATGACGGCTTCGGTCATTTGAACTTCTCAGGAAGGTTGTCTTGCGGTTTTCCCTTTCCAACTTACTCCCACCTGCCAGTGTCATGGAAAAATAAGAAATGGGAAAAGGTCAGTGTAAGGGAAGAAAGTGCACTCACTGTGGAATAAGCTAGGATGCAATCTCAAGAGCTTGAGGGGTGAAATTATCTCCATATATCCTCTCAAAAGCTATTGCAAAGAGAGTTGCCAGTAAACGTGCATGGCTCCAGGTCCTTCTACTTCCCACATTATTTGTATACTCCTCATCTCCCCCTTGTGCCAGATAAGCTGGGCTGATAATAGGCCACTAACCTCATTTCTGCTGTGCAGCCCCTTTCAACATCCCTCAGTGGGTTTTGCAGGGCAGTGGTTGTTGTATTTTGTAAATATAGAGTAGTCCTTTTGACCTCACCCTATTTCTGTAATTCCCATCATGTTAATAAACTACCTGCTCCTATGCCGTCCCCCGATTACACGAATAAATGAGATGGAGATGCAAGTCTTGAATGCACTGTGGTGGTTGGTTATTCAGAGCTGCACTTCCACAACGATGATGGCACCTGTATTTATCTCCAGCTTTGCAGGAGGAGGGCTGGGCTGTGTGGAGAAGCAGCAACCCGTCCAGGAAGGGCCTTGAATTCAAATCACAAGGAGCCTGTGCATGGACAAGTTGCTAATGTGTCTTTGTCTGGGAGAAGGGTGACCCCTTTCCAGCCCTTACAGTTTCTTGGCTTGCCCTCAGCCTCTTCCCAGTCTTCTCTGGACTCCTTGACCCCCGAAGAGTAAAGAGCACGCGGCCGAGTTCTGCTAGTAGTGAACTTTTTCTAACTGTAAATAGTTCAGAACTAGCGGAATTCCTGACGAGCGCCCAGAAAGCTGGGAGGGGGAAGGCCTAACCATAAGAAGAGGCTCTCCCCAAATCCATACTCTCAGCAACCCACTTTAGAAGCCAAGATCCCAACCCTATGATCCTGAAGGGCATTTAGACTATCCATCTACCACAAGTAATCAGATGCAGACTTTAACCCATCCAGATCCCATTTCAAATGTAAAGTATCAACATCATCCAAATCTCACAGATATCCCTGATATTCCAGGAAGCACAATTGTATCCCCACATATGAGTTACCTGTCTTCAGCTACCACCAGCCCCCCTAGGAGGAAAATTGCTTCCGAAGGTAAATAATCAATTTCCTTTCTTAATTGATACTTAGCTTCCAACTCAAGAGTCAGTCCAAGTTTCCACAGTTCCCAGAACCTGCTCCATTCCTTTCCTCAACTGTAACATGCCAGAGCAGAGTTGGACTCTTCTAGGCAATATTCAGCTGTTAGGCAGAAAGAAAATATTAAGAGAGTGGCACCGATGTGCATCACCACAGGCTTTTGGTAATTCTTGGAAATAAATGCACACATACATCCTAGCTTCCTTTTATTTCTCAAAATATTTGAGTTTGACAAGACTCAAATTAGATATCCTTGATAGCAGCATAAAGAAATAATGTTTGCATATGTGAATAATTGAAATAATATTTGAGGAGTGCAATAAGGTATTTAAATTCTCCAACTAGGTGCAGAAGAAGAAGCTGATGGACATGTAGGGTGAGTGGTTAAAACTAATTGGGAATACAAGATAATCAAGAGTTTTGGATGTACAGCGGATATGTGATTAGAATGATACTGGGTAAAGAAGTTATTTGAACTACAGAGAATTGCATGCTTTGCAAAAAGGAAAAATGAGGCATCTGTATATTACACACACACATACACCCCATTTCGGATAGGCCTCATTATGATGGTCTGTATCCTTCAGTAGGTCACAAAAGTTTAAGTCCCTGAATCTAGTTGTGTAACAGCTGTAAAGGCGTAAGGAGCATCATATAAACAACTAAGTACTACCTTGTGTGGTTAATTGTGGGTCATTTGGCTACTCTCTGGAACCAAAACAGGTGTCTATCAAAGGTGACTTTTGGTGAGGATAAGTTTTAGACCAAATCTGATTACTTCTCAAAAGAACCTGTACATCTTGTACTTATGAGGCATTAAAGTTGTGTTGTGCCTTCAAGTCATTTCTGACTTATGGCAACTCTAAAGTGAATTTATCATGTTTTTTTTTTCTGGGGCTGGGAGTGACTGACTTGTCGAAAGTCATTCCATTAGTTTCATAGTTGAGCAGTGATTTAAACCCTAGTTTCCTATTTTAGTATTATACTCAAATCACCATACTATGCTGGCTCCCTGGCTAACATTAAAAGTAACCACAGTAAATGATCAAAATGCATTAGGTTAGGATCTGGGATTTAGTCTTTCTATTTTTAGTTTGTGTTTGGTAATTCACCCTTAAATATATTTAAGAACAGGTCACTGAATTTTCCAGGAAATCCTCCCTGCCACTTCACCTATCCTCTGCAAACGCATTCCTGAGCACCCTAATTCATCCATTCTACAAGCAAGAAAACACATTGGTTGCACTGAGATGCTCAACCAATCAGACAGCCATGTTGCATATTAGCAACTAACTGAGGTCCATCCAACGCATCGTGCACAGATATCTAAATGGCTGAAATCTCTCCTATGTATTGCACATAAACGTGTCCCACAAGTATCTCTGAAAACACCCCTCCACCCAAATGTAGCAAACAAATACACAAATGCCAATGGTCCTTCCGCGGGAATGGCTTGACACCCACTTAGCTCCCCATGGTACCTGTGGGGGTCTGGTCCCTCTGGTGTGCCCCCGGCGCCGTCTTCTTTCCTGTGTGCCTCTTTCCACCTCAGCCTCTCAGAGCTCTGCCCCTTTTTCCGTGGCTGGGAGATTAAAGTTTCCAGTTTCTCTTAATCGGACTCCCCCGGAGTGACCCAAAATCCTCTGGATTAGAGGGGGCCAAAGGAGTGGGTGTCACCTCCCATCAGCTGAGCAGCTTGAAGCTCATTGCAGTTTAATGGAGGTGGGGAAAGAAATTAGGGCAGACATGAGCCTATAGGGCAAGGAGAGGAGAGAAGGGGAGGCAGTGGGGTCACATGGTTACAGTGGGGGTTAGGATATGGCAAGACATTTTGAAACCTGGAGACATATACAAATGCACACAGCACACACACCTTGGAAAACATATTCTGTGCAGTCCTCATTAGTAAGAACAAAGCTGATCTTACAGAGGTCCCATTAATGTAAATGGGGCCTTTACACGAGAATTTACCAGTAAATTGTGCTCAAGAGTTCATGTCTGAGTCTTCCAGTCAACTGCCTTCAATAGAGCTCAGAAATCACAAGTCATAGTGATTGTGATGTATTGAAGACATAAGAATATATGTATTGGAAGTTCCGTACACATTTTGCCATTTTCTATAAGTGACACCATTTTACTATCCCATTATATATCATGGAACCTGAACATCCACAGATTTTGGTATCCTTGGGTCCTGCAACCAAACCCTAACACAGTAGTTCTCAACCTGTGGGTCCCCAGATGTTTTGGTCTACAACTCCCAGAAATCCCAGCCAGTTTACCAGCTGTTAGGATTTCTGGGAGTTGAAGGCCAAAATATCTGGGGACTCACAGGTTGCGAACCACTGTCTTAGTGGATACCAAAAGCCTACAATATACAGTAGGGGTAATGGACAGTAAAAATGTAAGGCATGGGTCACAAGGCAAATTATTATCCCTGTTGGACAGCCAGAAGACCTTGGTTTGGTAGTGGATCCCAATGATTATTGTTTGGGACTTGGAATTGACAAGAGCCAAAATCCCAAGCAAAATGCATTCTTACTCCACCCAAATTCTTTGTTCTCTGTGTTCAAGATTCTCATATAGTGGTGTAGAAACTTTTAAGAAACTTTTAATGTGGACATAAGTGATTTTAATGTTTGTATATATTGATTGGAGTAGAGACACTGGCAAAGAAGATCCACATAGTTACAGCAATGGTATTCCCCATAGTCACCTACAGATGTGAAAGCTGGACCTTAGGGAAGGCTGAACGAAGGAAGATAGATGCTTTTGAACTGTGGTGCTGGAGGAAACTTCTGAGAGTGCCTTGGACTTCCAGAAGATCCAACCAGTCCATACTTCAGGAAATAAAGCCAGACAACTCATTGGAGAGAAGGATAGTAGAGGCAAAGATTAAGTACTTTGGCCACATCATGAGAAGAAAGGAAAGCTTAGAGAAGACAATGACGCTGGGGAAAATGCAAGGAAAAAGGAAGAGGGGCCAACCAAGGGCAAGATGGATGGATGGGATCCTTGAAGTGACTGGCTTCACCTTGAAGGAGCTGGGGGTGGTGATGGCCGACAGGGAGCTCTGGCATGGGCTGGTCCATGAGGTCACAAAGTTGGAAACGACTGAACGAATGAACAACAACAAATATATTGATGGTTTTATGTCCCGGCATTGAATGTTTGCCGTATATATGTTGTGCTCCGCCCAGAGTCCCCTGCAGGGTGAGAAGGGTGGAATATAAATATTTTAAATAAATAAATAAAACCATATTCTATCTGAAGTAGAAAGCCTATATCTGGGTTGATTTATTTCAAAATTGAGGTAATGTCATACATGATAGGCTGCTCCTTCTCATTAACATTTTAAAACTTCTCATAGAGAAAGAGAGCATACCAAGGAGAATACTTAGGCCAGAACCTATCTTCCTGACACACTAGAGAATAATTTATATGAAGAGACAAACACACGAGTAGCAAACAATCACCTGAATTGATACAATTCTGGTATAATTTTGCCATCTCAAGAAGGATTTATTCCAGTTGAGCTTCCAAGATTAATTTAAGGTACTTGCGGTTACCTTTAGTACTAAATGGCTTGAGACCTAAATATCTAAAGCAGTGGTTCTCAACCTTCCTAATGCCGCGACCCCTTAGTACAGGTCCTCATGTTGTGGTGACCCCCAACCATAACGTTATTTTCATTGCTACTTCATAACTGTAATTTTGCTACTGTTATGAATCGTAATGTAAATATCTGATATGCAGGATGTATTTTCAGTCACTGGACCAAATTTGGCACAAATACCCGATACGCCCAAATTTGAATACTGGTGGGGTTGGGGGTGATTGATTTTGTCATTTGGTAATGCTGGAGTTGCTGGGATTTATAGTTCACCTAAAATCAAAGAGCCTTCTGACCTCCATCAATGATGGAATTGAATCAAACATGGCACCCAGAATTCCCATGACCAAGAGAAAATACTGGGAAGGTCTGGTGGACATTGACCTTGAATTTTTGGAGTTGTAGTTCACCTATATCCAGAGAACACTGTGGACTCAAGCAATGATGGATCTGGATCAAACTTGGCACAAATACTCAATATGCCCAAATGTGAACACTGGTAGAGTTTGGAGAAAATAGACCTTGCCATTTGGGAGTTCTAGTTATTGGGATTTATAGTTCACCCACAATGAAATAGCATTCTGAACCCCACCAACGATAGAATTGGACCAAACTTTCCACACAAAACCCCCATGACCAACAGAAAATACTATGTTTTCTGATGGTCTTTGGCGACCCCTCTGACACCCCCTCGCGACCCCCACAGGGGTCCCGACCCCCAGGTTGAGAAACACTGATCTAAAGCAACATGCCAATTTGTATCTGCCTTAAGATGCTCAGAGGACTTCTGCTCTTGGTTCTTTTCTCAAAACAAACTGCTTGTGTAGGAATCAGAGTAAGAGTCTTTGTGTGATGGCTTCCTGTCTCTAGAATGCTCTCCCAACTGAGGCTTGATTGGCAGTAAAGTTCGTATAATTTTGTGCTACTTTGTCTACCTTCCCTTTTACACGCTGGATCTTGTTCTTATTGTAGAGGTGATTCATATGTATATTATGGTAAAATATTCTGGTATTTTAAAATGAGAGGAAGATTAAAATGTTTTTGATAAATGAATAAGGCTAGGGAGTGGATGTCTTTAAAAAAATTGTATCCATGTTTGACTTCAACCACTATCAAATCAGTGCCAAAACCACACAACAGTATTTTTAGGTTCCTGAAATCCAAAGGATTATGTGGTGCAAGGAAACACCATGGCAATCTCCTGTACTAACGGAGAGTTTCAGCACCTATCCCTTAAATTTGGTGACCATTGCAAGAGAAATTCTGTATTCCAATACTATTATATACTCTAGTGCAAGGGTCCTCAAACTAAGGCCCGGGGGGCAGATATGGCCCTCCAATATTATTTACCCGGCCCTCACTCAGGGTCAACCTAAGTCTGAAACAACCTGAAAGCACACAACAACAACAACAATCCTATCTCATCAACCAAAAGCAGGCTCACTTACACTTCCCACTGAAATACTAGTAAGTTTATATTTGTTCAAATTGTTCTTCATTTTAATTATGTTATTGTTTTTTTTAAAAAAATTGCACTATAAATAAGATATGTGCAGTATGCATAGGAATTAATTCATTTTGTTTTTCAAATTATAATCCAGCCCTCCAACAGTTTGCGGAATTGTGATCTGGCCCTCTGTTTAAAAAGTTTGAGGACCCCTGCTCTAGTGCAAGCTTACCAACCCTTAGAAAATTAAGTCACTAAATTATCTTTTGGTCTCTATTTTAACAGGTTTGATGTCATTATGTACCTTCAAGTCAACTCCAGCTTTTGGTGACTGTCCCATACAGTTTTCTTGGCAAGATTTACTCAGAAGAGGTTTGGTAAGATGATGTGAATGGCTCAAGGTCACCCGTGGGTTTCCATGCATGAGTGGGTATGTGGACCAAAGTTTTCCAGCATCCTTGTCCAACACTAAATCTTCTACATTGACTCCATTCACAAATACCTGACCAGATTCTGTAGTAATCAATAGCTTGGATGGTTTCTAACACCATTCCTTTTCCTTATGGTTCATCAGTCATGAGTTTGTGAAAATTATGAGGGAAATCTGCTGCAAGAGACATGAAAAAAATTGCCTTCTCCCACTGTAGTCATATATCAGAGTTGGATCCATGGGGAGAAACAGAAACAAATCTATATAAATAAAAATGTAATGTTCATTTGTGGGATTAACATAACTCAAAAACCACTGGATGAATTGACACCAAATTTGGACACAATACACCTCTTAGGCCAACGAGTGACCATCACTCATAAAACACTGAAAAACACAGCAGAAAAGACTTAAAAAGCCAAAAAACAAAAAAAAATTACAACGCATGCGCAAAACCACATATATACACAAACACACATATATACACATATAGACAAATATAGACAAATATATATAATTATACACACACAAAACATATACACAGACTGGGCCACAGCAAAGCATGGCAGGGGACAGCTAGTCTCTCTCTCTCTCTCTCTCTCTCTCTCTCTCTCTCTATATATATATATATATAAATGTAATGTTCATTTGTGGGATTAAAAACAACTGCACGAATTGACACCAAATTTGGACGCAATATACGTATCAGGCCAACCAGTGACCATCACTCATAAAAACACTGAAAAACACAGCAGAAGATACTTTAAAAGCCCAAAATTTAAAAAACAATAACATTACAACGCATGTATAAAACCACACATACACACATATATACACATCTATACACATATACACAAATATACATACACACACAGAGCACATATACACACTGGCCCACAGCAACGCGTGGCAGAGGACAGTTAGTATGATATAAATCAGTGGTTTTTGTAATACACAATTGAGAAGAACATTTATTTATTTACTTATTTATTTATTTACTGTATTTGTATACCGCCTTTCTCAGTCAAACAACGACTCAAGGTGTTTTCCAACAAATCAGTACATATAAAAACATAATACATTATCTATAGCATTAGT